TTAGAACATAGCTAGCAGAGTCGCGCAATCAAATTCATTATACGTAAGCGTGCTCAAAATCCCGATAGTGCACGCTGATAGCGTCAGCAAATCCGACTTCGCCAGAAAAAATTTTTTTTCGCGCGAGCGGCCATTGCTAGTGCGGGGAAAAATAATACATTTCGCGACAATAATGGATACAAACAGAAACTCGGCCTGCTATTCCGAAAACGAAGACAATGTTTCGACCTTTTCCCATGGGCTAGAGTTCTTAAATGAGGCAGAAAAAGAGAAAAACAAAGGAAAAGGAGACTCGGCATCAGCGCCGTCACGATTCGCTTCAACTGATATTTTTGTCCGTTTTTCGCGTCGCATTTGATGCAAAATTCCACCGGCTATGTTCTAAAACAATTGGTTCACGCTTTCAGCTGTGCACTATCGAGTTATGGAGCACGCGGGAAGTTTGGAGAGCACGAAAGAAGCGTAAGAGTTGCCCGAGGCGATAGCCGAGGGCAACTCTAGCTTCTTGAGTGCTCTCCAAACTTCCCACGTGCTCCATAACTCGATAGTGCACAGCTGAAAGCATGAACCAATTGTTTTAGAACATAGCCGGTGGAATTGTGCATCAAATGCGACGCGAAAAACGGACAACAATATCAGTTGAAGCGAATCGTGACGGCGCTGATGCCGAGTCTCCTTTTCCTTTGTTTTTCTCTTTTTCTGCCTCATTTAAGAACTCTAGCCCATGGGAAAAGGTCGAAACATTGTCTTCGTTTTCGGAATAGCAGGCCGAGTTTCTGTTTGTATCCATTATTGTCGCGAAATGTATTATTTTTCCCCGCACTAGCAATGGCCGCTCGCGCGAAAAAAAATTTTTTCTGGCGAAGTCGGATTTGCTGACGCTATCAGCGTGCACTATCGGGATTTTGAGCACGCTTACGTATAATGAATTTAATTGCGCGACTCTGCTAGCTATGTTCTAATTAACAATTGGTTCATGCTTTAGCGTGCACTATCGAGTTATGGAGCACGCGGGAAGTTTGGAGAGCACGAAAGAAGCGTAAGAGTTGCCCGAGGCGATAGCCGAGGGCAACTCTAGCTTCTTGAGTGCTCTCCAAACTTCCCACGTGCTCCATAACTCGATAGTGCACAGCTGAAAGCATGAACCAATTGTTTTAGAACATAGCCGGTGGAATTGTGCATCAAATGCGACGCGAAAAACGGACAACAATATCAGTTGAAGCGAATCGTGACGGCGCTGATGCCGAGTCTCCTTTTCCTTTGTTTTTCTCTTTTTCTGCCTCATTTAAGAACTCTAGCCCATGGGAAAAGGTCGAAACATTGTCTTCGTTTTCGGAATAGCAGGCCGAGTTTCTGTTTGTATCCATTATTGTCGCGAAATGTATTATTTTTCCCCGCACTAGCAATGGCCGCTCGCGCGAAAAAAAATTTTTTCTGGCGAAGTCGGATTTGCTGACGCTATCAGCGTGCACTATCGGGATTTTGAGCACGCTTACGTATAATGAATTTGATTGCGCGACTCTGCTAGCTATGTTCTAAATTCTCTTGCTCGTACGACTTATATCTCGCGGCGTACATGGGGCGACCTCCCTATGATGAGTGTGCGACCTCAGCATAACTGTGAGACCACTTCACTTTCGTAGTGGGGGGACTTCACTATAAAACACCGAATTAGAATACGCCAGATTTGAAAACCTCACGACGATGAATGAAAGTAAAGCGTTAAATCTGACACGTTTTTATCATCTTCAAATACTTTGTTTTAAATTTTTAGGGACTGTTCAAGTTACGCCTTCAGGATTTGGTAATGAGAATTTGATTGGTGAGTGAAAAGATTTGTAAAAACAAACGAAAACAAAAAATACTAAACAGATCTTGTAATAAGCTACTGACAGTCTTTTGAAAAGTTTAATTTTATTTTCTAAGCAAAAGCAAAAGTGTGCCTTAAAGAAGGCGACAATGAGTACGGAAAGGTACAGCTACCTAACGCGATACTACTCTACACTGAGGGACTCACACTCAAATGCAGCGATGATCAATTACATGCTGAGCTCTACACTAACAGAGCAAGGGCACATTTCTGTCTGGGTGAGGACTTCTCTTTTAATTGTTGCATGATGTTTTTTTTTTTCCCTTTGCCTACCTCCGGCTCGGACGAAGCCTCAGTTACTACTGAAGATCCCAGGATGAATTGTGTATTGTCGCAAAGATTGTTCAATACGCTGAAATCTTTGAGCTCAAATGGGTGTTTTAAGTCATACAACTTTACAATACACAAATAGCCCTAAAGTCACGTTTCCTGGCATCCGCAACAGGGTCTTTTCGATAGCTCAAAATTTAGGTTAAAAGCTAGGCTCTGTCGAACCAAACGAAGAAATGCTGATGAGTTCCTATTCTTCGTGTCCTCTTAGCTTCACTATCAAGATGAAGGTTAGATATATGGAGAGGGGCGTTCTATTGAGTATTTGTTAGAAAAGTTTCTTAGACTTTTTTTGTCGGCACATTTTGGCAGATAAAGAACAATGGACACATAGTTTCTCTTACAATTCTTAGCGGCAATTAATTTTTTTCTCACAAAAATCTAGTATGTTTTGCGGTGTTTCGTTAGGAAATTACCAAGAAACTTTAGACGATGCAAAACTTGCTCTTCAATTGGAGCCAACATTGATTGAGGCTATGGAATACGGTAAGTTTATTGCTCATAGCAGTCGCTGAAACAACAGTAAAAACTGTGGAAGAAGTGATCGCAGTAGAAAAAGAAGAGAATGAAATTTTTTTGTCTTGTCACGTGCGTGTTCCCAAGGAAAGTTCTGATTTCCGATGAGGAATCGTACCTAACACCGCTAAATTGCCAGGTTCATGTGTTCATATGTGATACAAACCCTTTATACCTCTTCAAACAGCTATAAGTAGTGTTCGTTACTGCGAGGATCGCTCTCATACTCTTGCTTTAACTACAGTTCAAATATATGACTGTTATATATTCACAAACGTCGAAGCAGCTATTTCGGAAGCTTCGTGTGTGTAAATCATCATAAAAAATAGAAGAAAACATATCTTTTGCATCTCGTCATCGAGCTCAAATTCCACCCTCTTTCTTATAAAAATTTACCAATTAATTCGTTTTGCTTGGCGGCCCTTGCGAGTATAAAAGAGTTCTTTGGCCTAATGGTGAGGACATGTGGCATATTGTAAAGGCGATGGTTTCTTAAATTATACTTTGAATTGTTATATACTGTCGGAAGTGAGCTGATCAGCTTATGGTCTTTATCGGAAGCGATTCTATGAAAAAGCCTATCACATAATGAATCAATTGATCCACCACTGGTGTTATGCCAAGGTTTTCGCATGCATTATTGTAGCCCGTGCCAGACCTGATAATTGAGATCCCCCTTTTCTCAAAACGAACAACGGCTCGTCAGTGAGGTACTGTGGCAAGGTGTTATAAAATACATAAACGGCACGATCAACTACGGACTTTACGTACGTATTGTAGAAAAGAATTAGATCTGTTGGCGATAATTTCACGCTTTTGAGCTGTGCAAGGAAATACAACCGCTTATTCACTTTCCTAACTACTTCTTCAATGGGCACATTCCGAGTTAGGTTGGGTTGGCGCTTATAGTACGTCCCAGCAAATTGGCGGTACTTACATCTTCTACTTCTTTTCTCTTTTTAACAAACGCATTCAGTTAAACTGGATTCCGGACAAACGATATTCGGAGCTGTTTGCATTTATCGGGGTTGAGTTGTATTCTATTTACACGGGACCTTCAAAGACACCTCATTTACATAAATGAGGTGTCCTTATATCTAAATCATTTATCATCAATAAAAAAAGCCACCGGCCCAATTTGGTACCCTGCGATATCCCGGAGTGGACTTGACCCACTCGGAATAAAGATCTTTTGCTAGCTTGATTCTTTGAGATAGATTAGACAAGAAATCGATGATCCAGTTAACTGTAAACGTGTATTGTTAGATGACGTAATTTTTGGACGAATATAGAATGGTCTACTAAAAGCAAATGATCAGTGTTTGCAGAATATTATAAAATTTTTAAGTAAAGACTTCATTTTGGTGAAACTCACAAAGATTCAAACGGATCGTAAAGAGATAAAAAAAACTCGAGTTAAGGCCTCAAAGGTCGGTGGTCGAGTTACAAATGCATCAAGGTACAAATTGGCAAAGCACTTAGTTGAATTTATCAGAGCAGAAGTGATTGGGCGCAAAGTCTAATCTCTGACCAACCAAACTCTATTTGTAGTTTTGGTTCTAATGCATTAAAGAATCACTTACAGCTTCCTCTCATAATGTTGCTTCAGATAGGTGCGGTGTAAGTGGTTGAAAATGTCCAGCTCACTTCTGTTCGCTGTGTAAGAAATATTAATCGGCTTGGAATATTAATTTATGGAATTAATTTTTAGTTAGAATATATTGATATTCAATACATTAAACGCCTGTTTACCCAGTAAAAGGAAAGAACCGCTTTCTTTGACATGATGAATTAATTTTCAGGAGCCAGTGCTTGTATGCACCTTCAGTTACATGCAGAAGCCATTAACTGGTGTCAGAAAGGACTGGCAGTATCCTTTCACGCGATAACTACTAATGATCATATCAATTCTTGATAAATGCCAACTCTTTGCTGACATCTTATTTTTACATACCTTTACTTTAAAAACATATTTGCAATTGCTTGCCGAATCTCTCTGTTGTTTATTTAGCAGAGGTTACAAATAAAGCGATGGTTCGATGCTGATTCGCTCCTGTGGATGAAGGGGCTACTTTATGGTTAAGATCAACCAGGGATTAGGCATCCGCAGTGTTTTTCATAAACTAGACTATAGGGCTCGTGAAATCCATGGTTAGTCGTAGTCGACTGAGATTACAATGTAATTACAAGATAAAGTTCGTGTCTACGACATTCTTCTCAGTTAAAATAGCGAACGATTTCTACTCACAATTTGTGTTTCACAAACGCTTTGGATCCCTTTGCTTCGCTACGTTTCATTGATAACCCACAACACTTCGATAAAAAAATGTCGTTACCAGAGAGAATCTTTCTTTTTAAACCCTTGTCACCTGACCTATTTTTCCCGCTTTAAGAAGCTGAGGCGATTATATGAATACCAACGATATTATGAATACTTTTTACGAAAAAATTTTTACACTTGACTGAAAATGCAAATCATATACTGTTGATCTTTATCGCATGCCGTATTCCAACCGGAAAAAGTTAAGCTTCTGTTTCATTTCTAAGTGGATGAGCATTGAAGTGTTTCTCGTGAGACTATCAGAATGAAACATGTGTCATTTAAAACATCACTTCGTTTTAAAAGAGCAATAAAAACATTGGCTATCGTTAAAAGTTCTTTTTAAAAATTCTTAAAAATTCTTTGACTCGGCGTTGTGGACTTCAACTCTTGTTAAATGGCAACCTATTGTTAAACAGACTGAAGTAAATATCTCATGAATCGATCACAAAAGATGTAAATCATATAAATTACGTTGCTGTTGGCAACGAAGCAGCACTACCGACAGCAAGTTAAAGAAAAACCTTAAGTCAAACAAAACCTCTTAAGCTTGAGGGTTCATAATCTTTTCTTCCCCTCTGAATCCCTTCCACTGTTTACGATCTCATGCGAAGCACGAGCAGTGGGAGTAGCTAATTGTAGTCGCAAGATTGATTTGATTCCATTATCTCATGTCAAAATTAGTGACTGGAACCGACCATCGACAATCACAACACAAGAATAATCGTGCACTTTTCAAAGAACGTTAATGACTTAGGAACCTTTCTTCCATTTACACTCAGCAGTAATTTTTGTATGCCGCAGCAGTGAACTGTGAGACACCACGTATAGGGAGCGTCGTATCCATACAATAGGCGAGAAATTTCGATTTGTCCTAAATGCGGCGTGCAAGGTATCTCCTAGATAAAAATTTTGTAGATACCTTTCGCGCAGCACTCAAGAAAAATCAATTTTTTTCCATCCACGCTACCAACATACTTCATACTCTTTATTTCTCCCTATACGCTGGAATGAAAGTGAAGGCGCCTCCTCGGGATATGGCCTCTTGGCCAGAACCTTGTGGAGGAAACACTTTCTCTTACTTATGAGCAAAACCGAAGTTTTGAAAATTTAGACCAGATTTTCTTGACGTTATCCTTAAGCTTATGACGTTTCTTAAGAGACTATTTTTCGTTATTAGCCTTTACCCTATGCAGATTGACAAGAGCAATGTTACATTAAAAAACATATGGACTTGGTACAGTGGTGGGCCAAAACCATCACTAGAAACATTGGGAAAACGGAGAAAAGATGGTAGTCTCCAAAATCACGCCGGCCAATTTAAGGTTAATAGCTCGCGAGAATCTAGGAAGCCCATCGAGGACATCGAGAACCATGAGCGTCGTCTACAAATTGCTAAAAAGGTACGAGACAAAGCTGGAGAGAGACAAGCCTATAGAGATCTTGGCAATGTCTACTATGGCCTTGGCGATTTCAAGAAGGCCATCGAGTATCATGAGCACGATTTGGACATTGCAAAACAAATGGGAAGCAAAGCCGAAGAGGGAAGGGCCCATTGCAATCTTGGAAATGCCTATGATAGCTTGGGCGATTTTAAGAGGGCCATCATGTGCCATAAGCGTGATCTAGAAATTGCAAAAGAGGTGGGAGACAAGGCTGGAGAGGGACGGGCTTATAATAATCTTGCCAATGCATTTGATAGTCTAGGTGACTACAAGAAGGCCATCCAGTACCATGAGCATCATTTGCGAATTTTGAAATATGTTGGTGATAGAGCTAGGGAAGGAGGAGCTTATGGAGGTCTTGGTAACGCCTATGATGGCTTAGGCGACTTTAAGAAGGCCATTGAATATCATAAGCGGGATCTAGAAATTTGTAAAGAAGTGGGAGACAAAGCTGGAATGGGTCGAGCGTTTGGAAATCTTGGTAATGCCTATGACAGCCTAGGTGATCTCCAAAAGGCTATCGAATACCATGGGTATGATCTGGAAATTGCCAAAGAGATGGCAGACAAAGTTGGAGAGGGACGCGCTTATGGAAATCTTGGCAACGCGTACCAAGGCCTCAGCGAGTTCAAGAAGGCGATTACATACCACGAGCGTGATCTAGAAATTGCTAGAGAAGTAGGAGATAAAGCTGGAGAGGGACGGGCTTTTGGAAATCTTGGCAATGCCTATCATAGCTTAAGTGATTTCAAGAAAGCCATTAAGTACCATGAATGGGATTTGCAATGTGCGAAAGAAGTGGGAGACAAAGCGGGAGAGGGAGAGGCCAATGGAAATCTTGGCAACGATTATTACAGCTTAGGCAGCTTCGAGAAGGCCATCGACTACCATGTCCGTCAACTAGAAATTGCCAAAGAAGTGGGAGACGAGGCTGGAAAGGGACGAGCCTATGGAAATCTTGGTAATGCCTCTTGTAGTCTAGGCGACTACAAGAAGGCCGTTGAGTACCATGAACGCCATCTAAAGATAGCGAAGCAAGTAGGAAACAAAGTAGTGGAGGCGAAGGCCCATGGAAATCTTGGCAGTGCTTATCATCACTTAGGCGAATTCAAAAAAGCCATCAAATACCATCAACGTGAATTAGAAATCGCCAAAGAAGTTGGGGATAAGAATGAAGAAGGAGGGGCTTGTGGAAATCTTGGCGATGATTATCATAACCTAGGCAACTACGAAAAAGCCATGGAGTACCACGAGCGTTGTCTTGAAGTCGCCAGGGAAGTGGGAGACAAAACTGGAGAGGGACAGGCATATGGAAATCTTGGCAATGTCTATCATTGCTTAGGCGATTTTAAAAAGGCCATCGAGTACCATAATCGTGATTTACAAATTACCAGAGAAGTGGGAAACAAAGCTGGAGAAGGACGGGCTCTTGGAAATCTGGGCAATGCCTATGAACGCCTAGGTGACTTTAAGAAGGCCATCGAGTACCACTATCGTGATCTAGAAATTGCAAAAGAAGTGGGAGACAAAGCTGGGGAGGGACAGGCCAATGGAAATCTTGGAAGTGCCTATCATAATATAGGTGAATTTAGGAAGGCCATCCAATGCCACGAGCGTGATCTAGAAATTGCGAAAGGAGTGGGAGACAAAGCTGGGGAGGCCCGGGCCTATGGAAATTTAGGTAATGCCTTTTGTAGCCTTGGCAATTTTAAAAAAGCCATCGAGTACCATGAGATTCGTCTAAAAATAGTCAAGAGGGTGGAAAACAAAGCTGTGGAGGGAGAGACTTATGGAGACCTTGGCAATGCCTATGAAAGTCCGGGCGAATTTAAGAAGGCTATCGAATATCAGGAACTTTGTTTACAAATTGCGAAAGAAGTAGGAGACAAAGCTGGAGAAGGAAGTGCTTATGGAAATCTTGGCAATACCTATCCTAGCCTAGGCGATTTCGATAAGGCTGTCAAGTACTATGAGCGTGATTTGAAAATTGCAAAGGAAGTGGGAGACAAAGCTGGAGAGGGACAGATCCATGGAAATCTTGGCAATGCCTACCATAGCCTAGGCGAATTCGAGAAGGCCATCAAGTATCATGAGTGTGACCTGCAAGTTTCAAAAGAAGTAGGAGACAAAGCCGGAGAGGGACGGGCTTATGGAAATCTCGGCAATGCCCACGGTAGCTTAGGCAATTTTCAAAAGGCCATTGAGTATCATACGCGGAATCTAGAAATTGCGAAATAAGTGGGAGACAAAGCTGGAGAGGGACGAGCCTTTGGAAATCTTGGCAGTGATTTTCACGGCCTGTGCGATTTCAAGAAAGCCATCGAGTACCATGAGAATGATCTGAAAATTTCGAAAGAAGTAGGAGATAAAATTGGAATTGCAGTATCACTGAATAATCTTGGTATGGTCTTCGAAGATCAAGGATCACCTTTACATGCCCTCGATTACTACAGTTCCAGTTTGACAAAGCTGAATGAAATCAGAGCTCAACTCCAGTTTAAAGATGAGTGGAAGATTAGCTACCGGGATACGTATGATCTTGTGTACAATAATTTGTGGCGTTTACATTTAAGCCAGGGTAGCGTTATTGAAGCTTTGTGTGCTGCCGAGAATGGACGGGCGCAAGCCTTAAGAGATCTTATTGAGGCAAAGTATGGGTTACAAGAGGTACAATCTTTGCCTCATTCCTCAGAGAAATCAGGTGGTTTGTTCCTTGGATCTATTCCATCGAGAACAGTTTTTATAGCTCTGGATAAGCAAGAAATTATTTTCTGGGTTATGAGGAGCGATCAAGATATCACCTTAAAAAGAAAAAAGATAGGCGAGTCTGTTTCTCAAGAAAACGCGGGAACTTTCATTTTGACTTTAAAACGTACTGCCTTGGAAGAAATTGGTGTACGCGCAGGTGTTAAAATAGAGAATCGCTCGCTTGATGAGGCGCGTGAGGGCGGATCGACGACTGACAGAGCCCCTATCAGTGTTTCTCGATCTTTTTCACCAAAGAAAAGCTTAAGAAGCTTTTATGACCTTATCATTGCTCCTGTTGTTGACCTGGTTGATGGAAACGACCTCATACTCGTGCCTGAAGGTCCACTTTGTTTGGTACCTTATGCAGCATTGATGAACCCACAGCAGGAGCATCTGTTTGAGTCTCTAAGGATCAGAGTGATTCCATCCTTGACTACTTTGAAATTAATTACTGATTCTCCAGTGGACTACCACAATAAGACCGGCGCACTTCTCGTGGGAGACCCATGTTTAGAAGAAGTTCTCTTTGAAGGAAGAAAGTTGTGTCAGCTGCCATTTGCAAAGAAAGAAATAGAGATGATTGGGAGAATCCTAGGAACGGTTCCCCTCACTGGCGAAAAAGCAACTAAAAGTGAAGTTTTGAAGCAACTATCCACGGTGGCATTAGTGCACATCGCTGCACATGGCAAAATGGAAACAGGAGAAATTGCTTTGGCACCAAACCCTGCTCGGGAATCCCATCATCCTGAAGAAAAAGACTTTTTATTGACCATGGCGGATGTGTTGGAAGCTCAGTTGCGGGCGAGATTGGTTGTGTTGAGTTGCTGTCATAGCGCTCGTGGAGAAATAAAGGCCGAGGGGGTAGTTGGTATTGCTCGAGCATTTTTAGGCGCTGGGGCTCGCTCGGTTTTGGTGTCCCTGTGGGCGATTGATGACGAGGCCACTTTCCAGTTCATGAAGAATTTCTATCAAGAACTAGTTAAAGGAAGGAGGGTCAGTGAAGCTCTTTACCAAGCCATGAAATGTATGAAAGAGTCCGAAAAGTTCAGGGAAGTAAAGTACTGGGCACCATTTGTTCTCATTGGCGATGATGTCACTCTTGAGCTGAATGAAACTTATGCAGTCTAGATGCTGCTCAATGCAAATATAACTTTTTTAGGTATCTTTTAAAGTCAAACAGTGTTATCACTAGGACAATGACATAGTTCTTTGGGAGAAATGAATCAGAAAGCAATTGTGATGTTGTTTCCTATTTGAAAAAGTAAGAAATAAGATATTGAGTAGAATACCTCATTGGAATTAGGGAGTTTAGAAATTATCTGGCCAGTTTTGTGTGGCGAAAATAATTTTTCTATTGAAAAAGTAGTAAAGGATCAAAAACTTTTAACCCTCCACTGAAAAACCACATCGTAACAAGCCATGATTAGTGGTAGATAGACTAGATTGCATACATCTATATCATTTCAGCGTATTAATGGTGTAAATTTAGGATCTAGTAAGACAAGTGTTCAGGTTAAAAAAAGGATCGACGATGAGATCCTTCTTAATTCGACTTGTTCAGTAAGATTTGCAAATGTCAAAATATGTATAAAAGCTGCTAAACTATTTTTTCAGAACGTTAAATAAATTGTACTTACACGTGACATCTTTTAAAATGCAGGTGACGGACTTAACGATAATATAGTTCCTACATAGTTTTGCTCAAACTTCGTTCACCAAGCTGGGTAAACAGTCTAGCTCTTTGTAAAATAGGAATTATATTTAAACTTAACTACCTGTAGAGCGTAGCTCTGAGATGATGAATTGTCACATTTTTACTACAAATCGAAAACGGTAAAGCCACAGTAGGCCTCGAGCGTACTTTGCCGTAGTGCGGCTGGCTCGATGCAGAATGGTTCGATACAGAAAGCTATTATTTGTAAGAGTTATTTCCCCGTTCGAAACTAACAACTTCCTTCGATAATTCCATTTCTCATTTCACGCAGATGTCTCAGCTAGATTCGAAAGCGATGATGAGGAGCGAAACTTTGTGTTGTGTCAGTGAATAACATTACGCAACCTGTTGAACTAACTTGAACTTGTTAAGATTCCATTGGAATTGGTGGTTTGTTTGAAAACTTGTCATAGTTTACCTAGAATATTGTTATACACCTTTTTAATAAGCAGGTGTTGCATACATTGACCCTTGACATCAAGTAGTTGAAAGATTTCTCATGTTTATTTTAAAATGAAAATGTATAAGCATTATATCAAGGGAAGTGCTTTGAATTCGGGACTGACTTTCAGGTATGTACGCTTGGAATAACTTATTTCAATTAATTGCAGTAGTTAGGAAATTAGCTCTGGTATGGTTTTAAGTGCAAGCAGAAATGACTGAGTTCGCATATACGGCTAAAACTAGTTTGACTTTAAAGCAGATTTACCCTTTTCGGGAGGTGCAATATTAAAATGTACTTCAAATTGAGAAGTAATAATTTTCAGTCCTGAGCCCTTTGACCTAATACTAGTCTTATGCTATTTCTTCCTGGAATTTCTAGAATTACTGATTTAGTTCCATGATCTAATGTCTTTTTGCTTCTCGTACTGAGGCCATGCCAAACCAAGGTTGTTCAATTAATAATACTTTTATTGTAGCTATTCTTTCACAACTTGTAGGATGTTACTCTGGTAGTATAAATTGAATACTAAGTATTTTCCAGTTAATTTGAGGAAAGTAGGCGTTATCATCGGTAGACCCTTCTCCAATAACGAACTGTTTACTCTTGTTAAAGTAAATTTATAAGCATTATATCAAAGGAAGTCGTAGTAGTTGGCAACTCTAGTTGGAGCCTGCCCGCAAACTATATAGCAATTATAATGCATGATGTATTTTGAGCCACTCCTATTGAAACTTTATCCGTAACAGTTTAGCTCACTGTAGAGACCCAGTAGTGGAGCAACGGACCTGGAATCCGAAGGCCTGAGGCTCGATTCCTCACGGAAACTAAGAATTGTTTATTCGTACTTCTTATGTTTGTTAAAAGTGTTGAATGTTGGCGTCTGTGTCCATGAAAAGAACATGGGCCAATAGAGATTTAAGTTGCCAAAATCTTGTCTTTATGGTGGTAATTTGTCAAAATTCGATAGTCTCCCTTGGTTTTTAGGTTCCAGCCGTGTTTACACAAAAGAGTGAGACAAATTCAAAGAAAAGGCTGAAAACTCGCAAGAAAATAAGATCCAAAGAACAGAGTGAAACGTTTATCGCGATGATACAACCCTCGTCATGCAATAAGCCCCTCAGCGATTTTTCGCTAGAGTGGTACATTGTGATGATGCGTGGCGCGCTCTTTGAGAAATCGCTATTGCGATATTTCGCTTAAGAAACGCACTGGATATGAAGAGAAGTAAGTGGGAGGGGGGAAGGGCTTCAAAATTTTGTCGATTAGTTGATCGAATGTCACGATAAAATTCCCGACGTCGATCATACATTGCCGATCTATCGGAGGTATAATATGCGACTTTCGACCATAATCGTTTGCATAACTTAGCGCAGCACTGTGAGTGTGTTGGGATTATTTCAAAATGCATAACCTTTCATGAATATAGGCTGATAGTTTCTAAAGAAACTGTTTGGGGCTGCGTCGGTGGGGGTAACGAAATAATTTAGATGTATCAACAAAGTTGAAATGGTAAATTGGCCACCGTAACGTTTCCCACCAATAACGTAGCTCCATTTTCTGCCTGTAAAAGTACACACAACCCACAATTCCTCTATTCGCTCCGCGAAGGGCTAACGCTCGAAACGTCAGCTTTTGTAATCGTTACGGTGGGCAATTTACCACTTCAACTTTCATAAATATCTTAACCTCAATACGAAGCACACTATCCACCAATGGCAACATACCACATTCAAAATGTTGAAGCGCAATAATAACCCAGGGGTCTCCTTCCCAGAGGTATTGGTTCAAAACAGACTTATCCACTGGCTTCTTTCTGGCAAACATAAACCATTGCTTCTGTCATTTCACAGGTGCGATCTCTCTAAGTAGCTCAGTGGCTTAACCGAAAGGCTGATGACAAACTGCAGTGATGATTTGTTTAGCCGGCCGGGACTCTTAATTTCCCACAAGAAAAGGGAATAAGAATTATACCTGACGAATTTCGGAATGCCAAGTTAGTTTACTTCAATTCTCAAAATAGATCAAAAAAATTTCGGGAGACAACCTTCAAAATTTTGTCGATTAGTTGATCGAATGTCACGATAAAATTCCCGACGTCGATCATACATTGCCGATCTATCGGAGGTATAATATGCGACTTTCGACCATAATCGTTTGCATAACTTAGCGCAGCACTGTGAGTGTGTTGGGATTTTGTCAAAATGCATAACCTTTCATGAATATAGGCTGATAGTTTCTAAAGAAACTGTTTGGGGCTGCGTCGGTGGGGGTAACGAAATAATTTAGATGTATCAACAAAGTTGAAATGGTAAATTGGCCACCGTAACGTTTTCCACCAATAACGTAGCTCCATTTTCTGCCTTTAAAAGTACACACAACCCACAATTCCTCTATTCGCTCCGACGAAGGGCTAACGCTCGAAACGTCAGCTTTTGTGATCGTTACGGTGGGCAATTTACCATTTCAACTTTCATAAATATCTTAACCTCAATACGAAGCACACTATCCACCAATGGCAACATACCACATTCAAAATGTTGAAGCGCAATAATAACCCAGGGGTCTCCTTCCCAGAGGTATTGGTTCAAAACAGACTTATCCACTGGCTTCTTTCTGGCAAACATAAACCATTGCTTCTGTCATTTCACAGGTGCGATCTCTCTAAGTAGCTCAGTGGCTTAACCGAAAGGCTGATGACAAACTGCAGTGATGATTTGTTTAGCCGGCCGGGACTCTTAATTTCCCACAAGAAAAGGGAATAAGAATTATACCTGACGAATTTCGGAATGCCAAGTTAGTTTACTTCAATTCTCAAAATAGATCAAAAAAATTTCGGGAGACAACACTCACTATTTTTTAGAGAAGTTATGAATTTATACTGAGATTTAGGTAACCTAAAGTATGACGAAGATTTACAGTGTAGCGGAAGTAGAGTAACAAGGTTTCTCGGCGAAAAAAGAAGGAAACATTTTAAATGATCTGTGTTACATAATTAACAATTTATCGATGATAAAGTATATAATCATTGACCCATTTGGCCGCGCTCGCGTAATCCCATACAAAACAATAATGAAAGCAGAAGTGTGCAGAGTTCAACGGGTTGACGTGAGCCTGCCCGGTAAAAGCCGTCCGGCCCAGCGTTAGCCTGCAGTGCAGGCGGATTTTGGCGGGGCGAGTGGATATTCTTATCGGTTGTTCAGGCCGCCATCTTGAATTAGAAAAACAGTGGATAGTTGGGGCGAGGTAAAACGTTTACCAAGCCAGTGGGAGGGAGAGAGAAAAATTGGGGAAGGGGGAGGCGGAGGGGAGAGAAAAATCTGCCTGCCCGCTCTGACTGTTCGTTTAAGAAACTCCGCACACGAACGGAGTCTCTGATTGGTACGGCAGGGTGCATTCAGATTGATGCTCGCCAATCAATGCTAACATTGCTTCAGGCTCTTCCTGCCGTGCGTGCGCGTGCTTCTCTGTGATATGATCAAGAAAATGGCGGATTCGCTAGCTTTCGATGCTGCGCTCGAAGAATCTCTTTCATTTCTGCCATATTCAATTTTTCCATCTTGAGTCTTATGTCAATGATTCTAAAGTCTTTAGTTGTTATCTTTCAATGCAACTTACT